TGAGCAGCCTTTCAGGACATGCCTCCAATTAACTCCCATGTTGTCAATTAACCAATCAAAAGCTTCCAAAGCCATGACATCATCATTTGGGCTTTCCCAAACAGTTTGAAGGCATCTTAGTGGATATAAACTTCTGACTTTGAAGAAAGTCATAAAAAATTCTCTCTCTCATGATTCTGGCGTTTAGCAAATAGAAATAATGTTGGTGATCCTGACTGAGCTGAAACAGGAAAAGTTTAGTCTGATTTAATGTCAGATGATGAGAAAAAAAAGGTTTTATGTCTTTTTATACAGTGGATGTAAACTTCTGCTTTCAACTGTATATAATGATGACATCCAGGAGGAACAGGGAGGTTAATGACAGGCGTGTACGTACTGTGTTCTTGGAGGGTTCCCAGGGCTCTACTTTGCTCACGTCCTGCATATCTTGTAGCTGTCGCAACTGGGACAACGTGTGGTGACGCAGTGCCTCGTGAAGTGGCGTATCCCCATCCTTGTCCTGCACATCCAGCTTGGCCTCTGCCCGCACCAGCAGCTGTTAACAGAACCGAAGGAAGAGTTACACAAACAGGCAGTGGAGGAGAAACTCTGAGAACCACCATTTAAAAAAAAAATCTTTTTTTAAAGTATGCTGGTATGCAAATGCTTCCATGCTGATTTATACGAGTCCCGCTTACAATGAAGTGCTACAGGATTGTACTTCCCAATTATGGAGTGCATTTTTTCTTAAGTCCACAAGATGGCAACGTGGCAATCTCAATCCAACACTACGCCAAAAGACTCAAACCAAGACACTGCCTCAGAGAGCATTTTTCCTCCCCTCTGAAGCAGCGTCTCATTCAACTGCAGGACATCCAGCGGTGTAAATTAAATGCGGGGCTGCATTGGTGGTGTTCTACTCTCTTCTGTGTGTGGACCAGTAAGAAGGGCTGAGAGGCAACTGAAGACAGAGAGACGGGGAACACAGTGAGACAAAGACAATAAGAAAGAAGAAAGCCCACTAACCCGAACTATCTGGGTGTGCTGGCGTTCCACTGCCAGGTGCAATGCCGTCTGCTGGTTGACGTTCTGGATGTCTAAGCTGGCGTTGCCCTGAAAGGTGAGAACACGACAGAAGCAAACAGGCTCAATTAACATATGGGCATAAATTAACAACAAACCATAACGTGTCACACAGATGTGCACACAGAGATGACAGTAAACTGAGGAGTAGAAAATACAAACAGAAAAAAATTTAAATACTCCATAAAGAAAATAAATAAATGTTGAGCACAGCCGTAACTATCTTTGTGGCTTTATGTGTCATGACAGAACCTTCTTTTCCTTCAGCCCCGTCACCCCACTGGGGGCTGGGAAAAAAGGCATCCTACAATAACGCCACATGTGATTGTCATTTCCAATTGCAAACACCTCAGCTGAGGAGATGTGGAGGGAAGATAAGCATTGTGATCAGGCAGTGTGTGAAATCCCAAAGTAATAAGACTGACTAACTGGCTGACTGGCTGGCTGGCTGGCTGGCAGGGAATCTGCAGTGCACCTCGTAGTGTGGTGCAGTTTCTGAATAGAAAGCTGAGCCATCACTGCGAACAAGCCCATTGCAGGAAGTTGGGAAAAAGCTGTCCCCGCTGAAAGGCAGCTTGCACAGCGAACGTTCACGCGTTGGAATGTTGCAGCAACATTACCGCCTTGCACCATAGCCTAATTAACCCAGTTCCCGCTTGATCAGGTGACTTTTGCGGTGAACTCGTGTATGTGTTAGTCTTCGGGGAGTTAAACCTGCAATCTCAGAAGGGAAAAGGAGCACGAACCCATGATTGCAGGTGGAGGAGGATATGAGGGCCCAGCAGCACTAAAGAATACCCCTGGAGGAACTGTGAACCGTATGGATTCAATAAAAAATGGCAGTTATAGGGGCTTCAACTGGTCTACAGCTTGCTGGCTGCAGGGAGTGCAGTGGAAGCTGCTTTAATGGTCTGTAGTCAGGTAAAGCTGAGAGTGCAGGCTGAACTGATGCGGCAACGCATTGGGATAATAACTGTAAACGGTGAGGTCTTTTAAGATGCGCCTCCACAGAGGATGTTCCAGATGTGTTTGTCAGTCGCCCAACTCGTCGTGAGTCTGATGGAATGATGCTGCTTAAATCACTTCAGCTGTCAGCACAGGCTTCTGTTTTACTCATGTTATACACATGTACACATGATTTAAAGTTAGATTTTAAGGCTCAAGTCTATTTTCCAGCATTTCTGGGACCAACACCTCAAAACTGTGACTGAGTGCCTCCTGTGTGGACACGGATGATGGTCTGTCAATGTGATGGTGCTGCATAGTGTTATACAGTATGAATGAAGAGCACTTTTAACAGGTGAAGTGATCAGGCATACACTGAAATCATTTATTCATATGTCAGAGTGTTGCTACCTGGTGCACCAGCAGCTCAGCCACCTCCACATGGTTGTTGAGGGCAGCCAGGTGCAGTGCAGTGTAACCGTCGTCCTTCTTCTCGTCTACGATCCAAGGCCGCGGCAGTTTGGATAGCAGCACACGCATGGCACTGCGCAGAGAGCAGAAAGAAAAGGGAGGGAGAGAAGTGAGTGCTTCGCTGGACTCTGGTGCATGAGACAGAGCCCACAAAAAGTCAAGACAATAAAGTTATTTTGATAAAAGCCCTTTGTGTTGTTAATGCTGGGATTTATCTGCCTGTGACCGAACGTCTCATGTACTGTACACGTAACAGCGTTTTACTGCTGATACACAGCATATTCCAATACACAGTTTTTCTTTTTACAGCAGAGCGTATCCCATTTTCACACATGGCGACAAGAATACTAAATCAACTTAGGGAGGAGTTGCTTTACCAAGCAGAGTGTTATTTACATCAGGCTTTGAGGAGTACAAGTGCTGTGTGTTATCTTAGAGTACCCGTTCCCCTACCATCTCTCCAGTTAAAAAGGGAAGCCACTTTTCCCTTGATGATGCGCAAAAGCGCCTATCATTGGAAGGCAAAATGGTAATTACACAAGATTTAGCTGCATTCACTCAGGTCTCCTCGTGGGAAAGAAACAGACAAGGTAGAGTAGGGAAAAATACCTATTGTTCACATAGTTGAGCAGAAGTGGCCTGGTGTGGTGAAAAAAGCCAGTTCTGTGCCATTGAAGGTCATTTAGAGGATGTGTGCCACACAGAGATGTGGCTGCAAAGGCAAATGTACAAGAGGAGGGCTGGGAAGGAGTCACTGTGTCACAGTGGGGATGAAAAGGGAGGCTGACTGTTAGCACCTACAGCATCACGGAGGAAGGTTTTGTTCCAGTGCTAGAAGGAAGCAACACACACATCTACATTCCTCACTAAATACAAAGATGAGAGAAAAGACAGCAGAAAAAAATGAGAAAAAACACCAGAGTTAGATTTCACTTAGCTGTAATACTCTTGTAATTAGAAAAAGGTGCATTAACAGCCTTTTTCCAATTAAGTGGAGTAGGTTTCATAGCATGGCTGCTTTAGTTTAGTGCTTAAACTCATTCATTACCTCTCTGCCCCTGACCCTACCTCCCTTCCAGCCCTCCTTGCTTCAGCCCATGGGCATACATCCCGGCACACAGTACACGAGAAATATGAAATATTGAAACGAGACGGATTCCTATTTTAGTGTGTGAACGGTGCATCAGTGACGGATATCTGACGAGAAAAAGGGCTGAAGACAGAACTCCTCAACTGGTGCAAATACTATTGAATATGAAACAAGACCCTGAAAAGCCATATCCCTGAAGTGTGCTCGTGTCTTGTCTGTAGTTAGGTACACAATGTACTTTCAATAAGCACTAAAGCAGCAGTGCTGGAGGCAACACTTCTGACCTTGTTTAACCCTGAATAATCATGCAGGGCATATCTTTGAACTGCGACAAAAGGAGGCAGCCGGTTTTACTCTGACTTTTATACGGCTGAACAGCGTACGCTGGAGCATTTGCGCAAACAACAGTACGGTAAATAGGATCTCAAACAGTACAGTGAGGAAATGAGCTCTAGCACAGGGCAGGACAGGCCTGCACAGTCAATGAAAAACGGTTAACTTCTAAGACCGAAAAGAAAGAAATGCAAACCAATAAGCTGGCACGCTTTCAGACTGGAGGCAATCAGGATGGCTGGTTCTCTGCGGGTTTTTTTTGCTAAACTTATAGCTCGTCTCCCTCCTTGTGAAGTAATGAAACCGAGCATCATCAGCACAGCCTCTTGAGGAAAGCAAAGAAAGCGGGGCAGAGAGGCATGGGGCAGGCAGTCAGCACCTCTGCACGGACAGAGATTCGGGGCTGGTGTACTGCTGCAGTGATGAACAGCGCAGCACACTGATCCCAGTCTCCCTCGCTCTCTCTCCACCTCTCACTGCACAGAGGCTTACGCACACACACACCTGCATTGCTTGCAGCCATCTTCAACCACTTAATGCAGAGGAGCACTGCTTAAATGTGATAGCAACCGCACCCACTCTGCCTAATCACACATTCATAATGTGTCGCCTTTGTTACAAAGAACTATTTGCTTACATGCTGTAGATTTTACATCTCATAGGGGACTTTTGAGTAATTTCATCCGTGGCTCACCCACTGGGTAGGAGTTGAGGCTTAAACAAGCAAATTATTTAAGAAAAAACCTTGCCACATCACATTCTTGCCTGAAGCCATAACTTAAAACTTATTCCCAGTGGTTAAACATAACACTGTTTTAGCGTTCTTTAAAGAAAAAAAATGATAATACAGGAGTGCAATGCCTTTTTTTTTTCTCAACCACAACAGTTTCCAGCAGAATCAAGGGCAATTGTCCCACATAAAGCCTTTGTTCTATTTGGACCAATTTTCCTGCTCCGATTGGTAGAATATATAACATTTGTACGATCGGGATTGGCTGGAAATACACTATATGTAGAAGAACCAGCCAATGAACGCACACTTGCTACACAGGGGCAGACTGGCGCCTTCTAGTGTCAGAAGCAGGCACTTGAGCACTGGGCAGGTGTTTGCTGGTGTAGGAAGCCCCTCCAATATAAGTCTAGATTGACAGGCTCCCTGCCACGCTGGGCGAAATGGGCGGACATTAATATTAATGCCCCATACTGGCACTGCTGCATTGCAGTTAAGCTATTTGCTGTAAAAGCAGAAAAAAAAGAGGCTGAATTAAGAACCAAGAAATAAATTCTAGTTGTTTTTATATCTCTTAGCAGTGACTGAGAAGGGCATAAAAGAAACTGTGTGTTGGTCTTTGAAGCGGGATGTTAAGAGAGAGGAAAAGAGAAGAAGGAATCGAGTCTGGCAAGCTCAGGCAGAAGATACTGACTTGACCTGGGAGTTAACATTCAGATAGCTCGGGCTATCTGCTATGAGAAGGAGACAGATATTTGGAGTGTTGTGAGGATTTCCTTATTACAAGTCAACCTTGAAACCAATGCTATGGTTGCTGTGAATGCGGGAGGACATGCAGCTGAGGGAAGGGAATGGTGGAGGATAGGGGAGAAGGGGAGATGTGATGGAACTGGGTCACCCTGTGAGAGATCTCAAGTGTCCCTTAGGAGAGCTACACCGGGTCTTGTTGTCTTGGGCTGCAATTTGTCATTGACTGGGACACTCTCTGACGCCCTCAGCTCTGTGTGTGTTGGCATTTGTCATTGTATGTAAGACAGTGGAAGTGTGTGCGCGTGCAAGTGTGTGTGCAAGTGTAAGGGTCGACAGGGCCCTTCTGCTGCCCTCGCCTGGCTGACAGCCATCTGTGTGGTGGTCAGTAGCCGTTATTACAACAGGAAGTGAGAGTCAGGGGACAATAACTTGGGTAGGACAGGGCAGAACAGGAACAGTCAACATCCAGCCTGAGATTAATGGCTGCGCACAAACATATGGTTACTCTGATGTAGGAGACGTGTTTGGCATACCGTCATCCATTAACTAAGGCTTCAAGCTCGAGAAAGGAGGTCCAAATTTTGCATTGGAAATTAGTTGCCAAAAGGTGCCACCTGCCTTGAGAAAATAAAAAGCTTTATAAAGCTGATAATGAAAATCATCAGTCTTGCAAACGTTCCAGTGCTTATGTGGTCAAACATATAGATGAGACCGAGTGCAGACAAATCCTCCGCCGCAACCGAAACGTCTGAACGATCAGCGCGACGTCTTGACCTTGGAAGACGATCCCACCTCAAAGCCCACTTATCAGCTTTCACCAGAACTTTCATGAGCAGATAAAGACATGATTGCATCCATATCACTTTTCGGCTAAATAGCGAAAAAAGAAAAGTATAAACAGACTAAAACTCCTAAAAGCGCCGTGGATTGCAACAGCTATTGGCATGTCAACAGAACCGTCCCCGTGACAGCTTGACAGCTCTAAGCCTTTGGAGAAAGAAAAAAAAAAGAAGCCGATACCGGAAATTATTTTGTCAAAAACGTTTTTAGTTGCTTAACCTCATTTTAACTGACTTCACGGAGGTCTGTCTACATATTGTGAGCGTCCCTGATGCAGAGTCCTTCTCGGAGCAGCCTTTCCAGATGAGACGCCTTCAGACGATACATGAGGTGTCAGCTCATTGAGGACTGGATCGATACTTTCAGGTCCTTTGAAATAGTGGGACACCCGTTCCCAACAAATCATTCACAAATGCAACACACCTTCCTCCAAATGGACCACCCTCCTCCTCCTCCCCCCCAATCCACTCAGAGCAGGGAGGCGCCCTCCATCATGTGTGAGAGGTTTGGAAGCTACCGAGTCCCTAAGTCACCAGCAGCTGGGAGGGAAGAGTCGTAAAAGTGTTTCGCCGACATTAAAACATGCCGCTTTGAATGGGAATGCTTGATTGGTGTGTTGCTTACTTCTGGAGCTGTATGAAACTAAAACAGGCATTACATAAAGAAACTGTCACTTCCATCACCGTAACTATACAACATGAGTCATTCAAGGCGGCTGTATTCTGCTCGCACACATAACCCTCCCACCTGTAGAAACAATTAGTCACGAGCTCCCTTCGTCGGGGCCATCCCACAGGTATCTGCCGTCCTGCTGTGGACAGAGTAAATAAACACAGGTAGCGTCCAGGCCAGCAGTGCAGCAGAGAGCTGAGGACAAGAACCTAACTGGCTCCACTTGATAGGAAAAGCTTTCATTACCATGCCGTGAAGAGAATAATTTCCCCTACAATGTGACCTTCCCTTGCCTGCCTGCCTGTACCTGAGGCCCCTGAGTGAGCATGCTTTTATTATGGACTATTTGCATAAACTGGAAAGGGGGGAGACGGGGAAAGGGGTGCATTTCTATGATGTTTTGGTTGTCACTATACTATTGCTGCTGCCTTGAAGGTTGTCTCGGAGACACCAGATGCATTTTCAACATCCCAGGTACAGCTTTCTGTCCATTTGGGGAGTAGGTGGGGCCCATAAAGGCTTAGCTTTAATTAGCCTTAAATCATCTGGTGATATGGGGTGTCCTGATTCATAGCAATTTATGAAGAAGGAGGCAGCAAGACAGTCAGAGAAGCCCAATGGCGCGTTAATATCCCATTGGTTCAAGATGACCCAATTA